ACCCAACCGACCGTTAACCCAACTGATCGTTAACCCAACTGGCCGTTAACCCAACCGACCGTTAACCCAACCGGGCCGTTAACGCCATTCAACCGGCCGGTTGGGTTAATGGGCCCCAAACGGTCGGTAACCGGCATGTTTATGCCATAGCAAGTGATAAAGGATACTAATGGGCCCCAAACGGTCGGTAACCGGCATGTTTATGCCAAAGCAAGTGATAAAGGATACTAACCACCAAAGGGAACGATAGAGTTGGGGTGGGACCATATACGTTCCAGCATCCTTGCCAGACGTTCAGGTCCCCCCTTCATAGCGTCACCACAATGTAATCCCCGGCAATTATCAGTCAGACATACGCGGGCTGGAACCCGTTATAAAAGAAACAAGTTTTCAAGTTTGAAAACATGTCTTGAATTACTGCATCGAATCAAACATGCATACCGTCAAAAAGATAGAACACTGATAACACGCAGAAAGACCTGCCTGCCTGATGGGTTTTGCGGAGGATAATGGGATATGCGGAGGATAAACAAGTGGACCAACATCAAGGACAGCTGGCAACAATACATGTCGCCGTACGACTTTATCGCATTCACCACCATTATTCTAGGAATGAAGATGAGAAGCTAGCTGTGTGCCATCGGCTACATCCACGCACACTGCCTGCACCGCCTTGTCCGATACCGCTGTTTCCGATTTTTTGGGCGGGGCCCCAGCGCGAAGCGCCCAGGGGGGCCCCGACCTGTAGGATTGCCCATGTCCGTGTGTGTGTGTGTGTGTGTGTGTGTGTGTGTGTGTGTGTGTGTGTGTGTGTGTGTAACGGACCAAACATAATATCTCGCCTGGCTGAAACGCGTTATAGGTACTATACAGCATTCTCTATTGCAAGGTATCTCGCATGTAGCCAACAAAAATCGTATGAGCGCAAACAAGTTTGGCTGCCTCAATTGACCGAGGCCAAAGTCACATCAACGCCTCTCGCGCTAAATTTCATCGCAAAAGGTACCGCGTATCTCATATTTGAATTCTTAGATGACGGCGTATGATAACTCGAACTCCCAGGCCTTGAGTGTGTAACGGACCAAACATAATATTTCACCCGGCTGAAACGCGTTATCGGTACTATACAGCATTCTCTATTGCAAGGTATCTCGCATGTAGCTAACAAAGACCGTATGAGCACAAACAAGTTTAGCTGCCTCCATTCACCGACCTCAAAAGTCACATCAACGCCTCTCGCGCTAAAATTCATCCCGAAAGCTGCCGCGTATCTCACAATGGAATTCTGAGATGACGGCGTATGATAACTCGAACACCCAGCTTGTGTTACCATTTGCCGGCATGGGCAATCCGACTTGCCACCAGCAGGCCAACATAATTTGCTTTCATTTCTCTATGAAATACANCAGCTGCTTGTTTGTACATTTACTTTGGCCAATGCACGGGGGCCTCCTGAGACTTGCGGTGTGCCCCGATGAAGCCCGCGGCTGTGGGGCGGATTGCTGAGGCCGCTGGCGCTTCGGGGAAAACATCACAGACAGCACCGAAAATCACCCAGCTTTCGTTACATTTGCCGCACGGCATTCCGACTTGCGTTCTCCGCACTGTCCATGCGGCATGCACCCGTAATTGCCGGGTCAGGCATGCACCCCGGAATGCCGGGTCCATTCCGGGTGCATGCCCGGAATGGATGCGATTCGCGTGGAGCCCGCAGACGTTGCTGACGATTCCGCCGGTGCAAGCTTAGCTCTCACACCATCAGCACTGCTGCAACAAAGCACATCTCCCAACCGCGTTGACACTACCCATCAATGGTCACACTTGCCACCCTTGCTACCGGCCTGTACGGATGCAGAGGGGCCCCGCCCTTTTTCCGGCTTCCTTGAAGCCGACACCCAACTTGTCTCTCCCTCCCTCTCCCTCCCTCTCCCTCCCTCTCCCTCTCCCTCTCTCCCTCTCCCTCCCGCTCCCTCCCTCTCCCGCTCCCTCCCTCTCCCTGTCCCTCCCTCCCTTTCCTCCCTCTCCCTCTCGCTCCTGGCAATAGCACAGCATCACGGCCTGCCCGGCCCCATAGCTGCCGCTGCCCTACTACTACCCCCTCGGCCAGCTGCGCGCCGCAGCGTGCGGCTCTCATTACCTTCTCCTCCGTCCTCCCTCCTCCATGCTCGTCCTCCCTCAATCGATCACTCCTTTCTCCCGGAGGATCAGCGCAGACTCTTCGCGGTTAGCAGGCTTGCGGCCATTAAAAAACTGTGTGAAAACGGATAAGGGGAATCTATCATTATCTTGACAACAAGGTTGAACGAAGCAAGGAACACGCGGTAGCTTTACGTAGTAGTAGTAGTAGTAGTAGTAGTAGTAGTAGTAGCTTAGCTGCGCATGAGTGTGTGCGTGTGCGTGTGCGTGTGCGTGTGCAACTCGACGCACGGGGTTTTTAAGCACCACAGCTTCAAACCCCCCCGATAGGTTTAGGCTCCGATCCAAACTTACGGCCTTACCTGCATCCAGTACCGCTGGCGCTTGTTAGAGAACCTTTTTGTGGTTTCAGGAGGGAGGGATTACCAGCGACAAAAAAGGCAGAGGCAGGTAGATGTTAAGACCTTTAGGAAGCAAGAAGCAAGGCAATCAAGAGGACAACATCCCTCTCCCACACGGCAGCACGAGTGGGTAACTAGCTACCGTACTGATACGATGAACTGGTGGTCCAATTTGGTGATTGGCGTCACATCACCAAGCCGTATTAGCCGTATAAATGAACGCATGCTTTACGGGGGTGTCGTCACTAATTGCCGTGCCGAACAATACACCCACATTTCCCTAATCTTAGGGAAGATTGGCAAAACACATTTGATTGGCACCTTCACCGGTACGGCATTGGCCGTGCGCACCCTCGTTTCGGGCAGCGGGGCAGCAACCTCTTTCACTGATTTCAGCCGAGAGAGTGTGAGAGAGCGGAGCCCGCTGCCGTGGGCCCATTTCTGGAAAATTACCACTATACGAGACGCTTTGTTACTGATAACCGGAAGCCTAGAGCAATAATATAAATGTGCCGGTACAAGCACTGGATGGGGATGCCGCAACACACGGCCTCTTATATACCCGCCAAATCGTACGCTTCCCTTTCTGCGTCTCCGTTTGGGAGTTTGGGTGTCAGAAAGTAATAGGCCGGCTGGTCGGCGAAGGGACTCCGGAAAACCAGCAGTATGTACAGCGCGGATAGGGGCCGCAGGCGTAAGTTTGCGTTAACTAAAAAAACGGTGGCGGTTTGCGTTAATAATAAAAACGGTGGCCGATGTCATGAAAACGTCCCCCGCCCCGCCCAACCAACTCAAAGCCGGCCCCTTTCAAAAAAGGTGAACCAGCACGTCCTTGGCGACCCTTGCGCCTTCGGCTCGTATGGGTAGTTTTACAGGTATGGGGTCACGCACCCCCAACCACGTAACACACACAAAAAAAGGTGAGGGCGGGTTCATACTTTTAGGTCAAATGAACTTCTTGGTTGTGTCTTACTCATTATGCAGCGCGTTCGTATCATAGATTTCGTCTATCAAAACCTGCCAAGCTCGCTCACTCCGACCTACCAGTCGGCAACCTGCGAGAGTGTGAGCCCGGTCTTGTCACGCAGCTCCTCGATTTCCTTATCCTGCATGCCGGCACGCAGGGAAGCTTTTTTATATTTAAGATATTTACAAATAGAGATGCGTGCATACGTCGTTCATGTTTGTGTATGTATCAACGTATACCGCGATACTCACGAGGCAGACAGGGGCACGGCGGGCGATGTCGTGCAGCAGTTATGTTGAGAACTGGCAACATCAGCAGCAGCAGGAGACCACACACACGCCGGGCAACGGCCGCGGCCAGGCATACGTATACGGCAAGGCATATACATATAGCAAAATGCACATGGCCAATGAGAAGAAATAGGCTTGTGCAAGTATGTATGACGGTACGTCGGTATTTGGGCACGTCGGTATGTCGGTATATCGGTATGTCGGTATATGTATGCCGCGGGAGAGCGGGCGAACGAAGGAAGCCCACTCACGCTCGGAAAAGGCCACACCAAGTTCGCCGTGTACCAGTTCATAAGCATGGTGTTGGCCGCCGTTGGTAGCAGCTTGATAAGAATTTATGTGCAGTGGGGATGTATTTATATACACAAGTTCAGCCAAGTAGCTAATTAGGTAGATACGTCCAGCGGCTATCGATAGATGGGCGGCTTGGTAGCATACCTTGGGGGATGTTTCCATGGATAGAAGATGCATGGTCATTAAATTAAACGACTAGTTCAGGGTACAAAGACATCCGCAAGAGAGTCACCAACGTAGCTTAGGCGTCCTTAGACTGGAGCAACCTGAATAAAAATAGGTTCCAGCGCTGAAGAGGAACAGGACCAATTATCATCGGCGCATAATGTAATGGAATGTTGTAGGAGATCATTATCAGCGTGCTGTGTTGTAAGTATATAGTACGGGCGCCGCAGAGGCTTTCGCACCTGTGAAACGCTCGGTAGACGAATCGCCGCCGCAGCTCGCGTTGAACCTATTGTCCTCAAATCAAGGCGGCGGGACTTTTGACCCAATATATAGTAATATACAGTGTTGTACTAGCTTCCTGCACTGCTTCTAGCATTTTCGGACCTTCAACATGAGCGCCATGCCACTCCAGTTTTCATATGAACAGTGTAAAGCCAAAGCAGCTGCTCGGAAATCAGCTACTATTTCATCAATCTACAAGTAATCCATAAGCGAAATACTTTAAAATTACAGGAATTCAGTCCTCATTATTGCCACTGCTGGGAAGCCTGACGATTCGACGCCTTCCCGTTTGACCGCCCAAAGGTTGCCCAAGGTACTCTGATAGAAATGGAACTTTTCCTATACCAAGCAAATTATGAAAAGGAAACATTTTTTGAAAATAGCATTGTCCAGCTTGGGATGAACATGCTTCCACCGTATGAGAGGCCTGGTGAGGCTCTGCTCGCGCGTAGCTACCGCTGAAAGACGGACTGCCCTGCCCTTTTACACACACATCACAACAAAGATTATGACGGCTCAAATAGTAAGCGAGCAACGACAAGGAGAAAAAACCAACATTCAACGCCAGTTTGCTGTATCTAAGGCCAGCAGCTAAGGATGTTGTGAAAACGACGTTGAACTGCGAAGAGACATCTTGACAGCGTATCATGGTGTCCCTTACACAGGCCACCGCGGTATTGACCGCACCAAACAAGCGATCACACAAACATATTGGTGGCCAGGGCTTGACTCTGACGTTAAAGAACACGTCAAAACATGCCCCCAATGTCAGCGTAACAAAGCAACAAATGCAAAGCCGGGTGGATTACTGCAGCCCCTTCCCATTCTAACGGAGGTGTGGGAAAGCGTGACAGTGGATTTGGTTACACAGCTACCGACAACCCGCAATGGGCACGATGCGATTGTAGTGTTCGTGGACCGGCTGAGCAAAATGACGCACTTTGCTCCCACACACACAACCGCCACAGCTGAAGATGTAGCCCGCCTCTTTGTGGCTACCGTCTTCAGGCAGCACGGCTTTACAAAGAACATTATTTCAGACCGGGACTCTCGCTTTCATCGTAATTTCTGGAAGGAAACATTTCGCCTGTTGGGCGCCCACCTCAATATCAGCACAGCCTTTCACCCGCAAACAGACGGGCAAACGGAACGCATGAATCGCGTTCTGGAAGAGACACTCAGGCACTACATCTCACCCACTCAAAATGATTGGGATGAGCATTTGCCACTGATTGAGTTTGCCATAACCAACTCAAAACAGCGAGCAACGGGGACAACCCCCTTGAATGGTGGTCGGCAACCAAAAGTGTTCCGGTTGACCTTCACCTAAAAACCAAGGTGGTGCCTGCCGCACAGAAGCAAGAAGCGATGCTTCACGAGCATAAAAGCAAAGCTAAAAAGTTTCTCTTGGCTGCGCAACAAGACCAGAAGGAAGACGCCGACATGCATAGGCGTCCAGTGTGTTACGAGGTTGGGCAGAAAGTGCTGTTAAGTACCAAAAATATTACATTAAATTAAAAAACTCCTGGAACCTAAAAGCTGATGCCCAAGTTCATCGGCCCATACACGGTTGTCGCTCGCGTGGGCAAAGCCGCGGTAAAACTGGACTTACTGGCGGCCTCCCGCCTACACCCGGTCTTTCATGTCTCTTTGTTGAAATTGAAATGTTGAAATTGTACAAAGAAGACGTAAAGCGACAGCCACCGGCGCCACTCGTCATTGAGGGTGAGCCGTACTTTATGGTCGAAGCCATTGTCGACCATCGTGATGTTTCAGTCCGAGGGGGACGCGGGAAAGACATGTCGAGAGTATTTGATTAAATGGGAAGGTTACGACTCTAGTCATAATACCTATGAACCAGAGGAATCTCTTCGCCAGTCTACTCCCTTCTACCCCGAGAACGCTGAATGCACACCAACTCGTACAATCACCGATTAGTCCACGTCTCTCGGAGATCAGATAAGGGGAGCAGCGAAGGCAACCATTTCAAAAGGAAACTATCGCTTTATCTTTATTACATAGCTATAATCCAAACATAGGCCCGCGGGTGTACCGTACTCTGAAAGTTCCGGTGAGACTAGATGTGTAACGACGCAAAAGGCCCATCTGAGCATCCCGGGTTTCGCCTTTGCTGGGTTACAAGATTTGTCGAGAGACATGAGATTGGATGGCTGATAGACTCCGCCTAGGAGCCCGAGATTGGCGGACAGTCATACTGAGCCTGAGACCTGGGGTTAGCTGACAGGCTGACGAACGTGCGTTGCAATCTTTGTGGGTCTCGAAAACCCTGCTAGTCTCGTCATAAGGCCCTTCTGCGTGTCTTTCATAATCATTTTCTCTCAGGCTGACATGTTTGTGCCTCTGGCGCAAATGGTGGTGAGCACTCGCATCTACTCATGTTGTACCGGCCCTTCATTCCAGCTGTGTCTTATTACAATTCCTGCGACTTGTGATCGCCACCAGATCACCACCGATGACACAAGAATATGCAGTCTCAGGGCTAGCCTGTGACTTTAAACGCTTATCTGCCTGTCCGAGCGCACGAAGCCACTGCTGTCACAGTCAGAAATGTATGTAGTGAAGCCACAGCCACCGAATGTACTACGCACATTAATTAGTACACACATCTACGCAATAACGTCCTTTTTTTATCCGTAAACAGCATTAGTGAGGATCTCCAGACGGAAGACAGGGTACAAGAAGGTTGAGAAATCGGAACAGCGGTGGGGACCTGGGCAGAGTTGATGCACCTGGGATGTGAAATGATGCGTTTCCTGCGAAAGCCATCGAGAGCCGTCTTACGTGGTGACGGCTGATACTAAGCCGACGGCCAGATAAATGTTTTTTACAAAAAAACGTAATTCCACTTACGGCGCAACCATCGTGTGTACATAGCGTGCGGTGTCACTTTCTGAGACTCTGGCCCATGAACATTTCCCCATCTCCCCTCCCCTTTTCCACTCCACCACACCTTCACTCGCACACTCGCACGTCCACCGTGACGGCGCCAACACAAGCACCAGCTGTTCTCTGTCCCCTTGGGTCTTACACATACTCGATGAACTTTCAACCGTCATTTACACTGAAACTTCGTTAGCTAGGTCCTCAAGGTGATCTCACTATGCCCCCAACGACCCGATGCTCTCGCGTGTGTTCAGCGTTGCTTGGGCTCTCACACGCAGATGACATGTACCTCCATCACAATCGCCACAGGCCCTCCAGCGCACGAAATATGAGTAGCCTCAACAAGAATTTGTACAAGAGCTGCAGTGGCTGCAGTTGCAGGATAGGGTGGTGATTTCCATAGTCGCTTTCAGGGGGCTGTTGTGGGAACGATTCCGATGAGGCGCACTCGTTTATCGATTTAAATTTCGGCGGGAGATTGTTGGGAGTCCATCGTACACTACAGGAATTGGGAACCTTATGCAATCTCGCTCTTTTAAGTGTGGCGGAAGAAGAAACGCACGATCTTGCAAGTTACATATACATGCGAAATTTTTTGTCCTTTCTTCTTCGTCTTCTTGATGTGACGATGTGACGAACACACACATCACACGCGGCAACACACACACACACACACACACACACACACACACACTGTTGTATCCTGTAAAGGTTTTCTGCAACGGTTTGGGCGCCGAATCCTAACTGTCGGTGGTTATCTCGTCCACTCCGATTTACCGAACTTCAATATTATTAACTAACACCCGTCAATTCCGCGGTCGGTGATTACAGGTTAAAACTAATACTGCTATTAGTTTAATTGCGGCTACTGTTAGCTGCGGCGGCTAAAGCGACTACTGTTAGTCGTCCGCCACCTTAATGCCGCACTGCTGCGGAAGTCCATACCTGCGTATGGGTGGGGGTTTTACCTGCGTAAAGCTGGGACCTGCGTCCCAGTTTCGTCTGACCGAGCGAGAGTAGTTCCTGCGAACTATGGCTTCTGGATACGGCGCCGCCCAATCGTACTGGGGATTCTTATCGGCGCGAGGCCCAAGTGGAGTCACTGATGACTATTTATTCAAGACACTTGTCTCAATCGGTATCTTTCGATGCCCCCATTATGTGGTTGTGTCGTCTGAACTCTACAACAAATCTGGTACGGACCAGTCTCATTTCCGCTTCCGCACATTTTCTTTCAATTGGCACTAGTATGAACTTTCTTTGTGAAGAGACTACGTCGGCCGATTCGGAAGATTTCGGTCCCTTGGCGACTTTTGCTGCTGACCTCGGCAATGCGGTGATGGCTGCCGCCGCATCCGCGGGTTGGTAGATTCGCCCTACGTTTTGTTGAAGTAATCCTAGTTTTTCCTCCTCTAACTGTTTTTAGATTTGCAGGCCCTCTCGTTGTAGCGGGTTCTGCTATTCCTACCTCTGCTGCGATCCCTCGCTTGCGCGAACTTGTGTACCTCTCCCGTGGTGCATTGCAAGCAATCGAGGCAGTCCATCGCTGTGCTGAGGAAGTCTTACTTTTCGGTAGGGTTACCTTTGCTACCTCTTTTTACTTGGCTTTTCGGGTTGGGTCGCCTCGCCATGTTGCCTGCCAACTCCGGAAACGCGCCTTTACCTGTCCTCGGGGATGGTCAGCAGGGAGCTTTAAGTGTAGTTCCCCCTTCCTGGAACGTAGCGGATGGGGTCAGGCGAAATCGCTGGGGTCCGCCGGATTTAGTCGCTGAGGGTTGTCCCGCGCGGACAGTCCCTATCGCTGCCCCGGTGGTTCCTGTTAACCCTGTCGCTGCCCCAGTGCCTCACGTAGGACAGGATCCCACGCCTGTCGCCGCTGTTCCGCCGCCGCCGTTGCTTGTAGCCTCCTCCGCACACGGCGCTGGCGGCGCAGAAAGGGCTCCTACGGCTGCTGCATTCTTACCAGTGCAGGACGTTGAGGTACTTAGACTTTCCGTCCCAGTTCCTAGATTAAACTTTTCTTCCGACCTTCGATCTCGCGAGTTAGGTCGTGCTGCGGCAGATAGTACGCGCGCGTTCGCCAGGGATGCGAAGCAGTATCTTCA